CTCCGGAGATCCCTGGCTGCAGAGGCAGGGGAGCTATTTTGGGGCAGCAGCTGCTGCGGTTCCGGCATCTCCAACCAAGGGATCAAAATTCCCCGGGTGGGAACTCCCCCCTCTCCCGGCGGTCACCCCTCACCCATCCCCCGTCGCCCTGAACTGGGGGTGGTGGTGGTGCTGGAGATTAACTAGGAAACCCGAGTGCCGCTAATTATAACGCGGGGCTTCCGCTGAGCGTCCTCTTCCCCAAAAATAGAGATGGAGTCTCCGCGGGAGCGGGGTCCTGGGCCTCTGCTGGGCGCTGCGCAGGGGCGCTGAGCTCCGGCTTTTGGGATGGGGGACCCAGCCGGCGCTAAGAACCTGCGCAGTTTGGGTTCCGCCCCAATTAGGGGCTGTCTTCCAGTGGCCTGGGATTTAAGAGCTAGGGAGGAAGGGGCGCTCGGGGGTCCCCGAAAGAATTCGAGATGAGAAGCCGTACCGGTGGGGCGCGGGCTCTCGCGCGGGTGTCGGTAAGTGCGGCGGCGAGTGAAGAGTTACGGATGAGTGTGGGGCAATGGGGGTGGGGGCCCTGGGCAGGCCTGTCCGGTTTGGGGGCTCGAATCTCTTGGGGAGCACACCGTCTCTCAGACGCGAATGGGCTGCGGACCGGGCAGAGGGTCCCTAGCGGCAAGGCAGACTCACCTGAGGCGGCCGGGCCGGGCCGGGCCACGCCAGGAGCTGGAGGCGGCCGATGTTCCCGGCGCAGGCTGAGCCGACTCTGACAGCCACCGCCTCCGGCCCCCCGCACACACCCCCTCCGAGCCCCGCGGCGCCCCCCCCCCCCCCCCGTCCCCCCCGCCCACTGTCTCCGCCCCCGCCCCTCCCTGCTTCCCCGGGCTGCCACTTTCCCTCCCTCTTCCTCCCTCGGACTTGAGATCAGAGACTCGGGGCCCAGATGCAATCCAGTGACAGACGCCGACAGACGACAGACACGCTGTGACAGAAGTGACAGACACGACCCAAAGACCCATAGCGGCGGAGCAGACACCCACGTGACAGACAGGACAGAAGCCCGCAGAGACAGACACACGCAACGGACAGTCTCAGTCAGTGACAGTCACAGAGAACGTAGGGACAGACTTTCACAGACGGACGGATACTCAGCCTTGGTTGAGGCTGGGGAAGTTATCACAAGGCTAAGGGTCCAACTAAATGAGCATCTCTGGCCATGACACAGACCGGTGGCATGGAGGAGCGGCACGTTAAAATGTGATTAAACTCCCCTCCCCCGAGGAATCCAGGTGGCACTGGTGGAGAAAAGATGATATGGGACAGTCTTGAGGATGAAGGGACACCTGTGGGAATGGAGATGTGAACGTAGGATCCCTAGTGAAAATAAGGGAGTCTCCCCTGGAGAAAGGAGACCCTGGGGTAAGAGGTGACTCAGGGACACCTGAGGAAGAAGGCCAACGTGGTGGCACGCGCAAGACTGCGGGGCGAGGCCGCACTCCTTTGCTGCAGTGGAAACTTCTGGAAGCCCCGCGGGTGGGTTTGCGCTGGTTCCCTGACGGGTGACCTCGGATTTTCGTCACCAGAGTCCAGTCGGGGCATGACATCACCAGACCAAGCTTTCATTGGCCGCTGCAGCCGGCAGGTGGGAGCGGCCTGGCCCGAGCGTCCCCAGCAGGCTCCGAGGGGCCTGAGCCACACAGCTCCCCCACGTCCCGCCCTCTAGGCGGTCACCCATGGGACCCATGTTGCCGCAGCGACATCGCTATGCCTGAGGTGTGGGTAGAAGCAGCGTGCCGACTGACTGCTGGCTAGGCGCCCGCGGGCCCCAATGTGGGAGAGCGGCTGGAGCCCAGGAGCGTCGGGGCGTGCGTGCGCGCGCGCGGCGGTGCGGGGCGCAGCGCGGGGTGGGCGCGTGCGCGCGTGCGCGCGTGCGCGCATGCTTGTTCTGGCTGCTGCGCGCCTCGTAGCACTCTGGTATGCGACTGCTGCCTCTAGCGAGTCGGGGGCCCCGGGTTTGGGTTCTCCCAGAAGTGAACCCAGAGTCGTACCTAGATCTGCACCGTGCGGTTCCCAGCTCTTCAAGTCAGGCGCACCCCGGCTTGGTCGTTCCGCGGGACTGGGCTACGCGGACGCGGACTCCGCTCTGGGTGCGCGCTCCGCTCCCTGGCTGCAGCCACCAAGTGGCGCCAGAGGCAGACGCACTGGCCTCAGAGACTGGGCTCGCGGACCCTGAATCCCCAGTCTGGGCACCGAGGTTCCCTGCACCCGCCGTTAGCGTCCAGGCCCCACTGGTTGAAGGCTCCCCACTGGCCAGACCATGTCCCCTAGTTCAGTTCCCTGAAGAACGAGTGTAAGGGCTGTGGGTGGGGTAGGGGACAGAAACATGGACGGTGATAGAAAAGGGTCTGAGGCAGATTTCTGAGCCTGGCGATTATGAATTATTGTAACAGAACGATGGAGACAAGCTATGAACGAGTGAGCAAAGGTCTGCCTCCATCCTAAGGCTGTAGGGATTTTTGGCCTCCTAGTGATCCGGGGCTTGCCCCTTATCAACCTCCAAAATGGCAGTGCCACGCAGGCGTGTCACCTAATCTGTATAGTCATGAGTTCAAAGGCCTGTACAGTGGAGATAGGGAAGGCAAGGACAGCTTGTCGCCCAGGGTTACCATTCCCAGGAACAATCCCTGTTATTACTTTGAGTTTCTCCCTAGCCTTTGTCCACGCAAGGACCTGTCTAGCCAGGATGCCTTGCCCTACACAGTCCAGCATAGTAACCTTCCCAGCACCTTCTGTGACCGTGCACCCTCCACAGCTGTCACTTGGGGGATATCCTTGATTCTTTCTGCCTCCTAGGCAGAAATCCTCCTAGGGCTTTTCCATGGACATGCTATAAGGTGGCCTTCCGCTGGAGGGCGCTGTTTGAGAGGGGTCTAGAGAGGCTCCTGGAGAAGCTGCCCCCAGGTCAGAGGTGGATGAGGGTGGAAAAGGGGTCCTAGACCAGGTGGCCCTGCCCTGACCTTGCGGAGATCCAACCCAGGCCCTTCCACCGTACCTTTGTGCACAGCGCAATAAGGGGATTGGTCCAGGCCAAGGAAGTCTTCCTAGGCTGCCACGTCCCCTTCCCCAGCCTGAGGGGCCCTGATGAGGCCATTGCCCAGTCAACCCCTATTAAGTGGCATTTGTTAAGTGGCAGACTTGGGAGCCTCAGGCTGTGCAAGGGACTTTCTTCCCTCTGCCCACCCTTTCCTGTGTTCCCTACTTAAGGTTTAAAGCCTAACAGCGTTAACATTGCATCCAATTTTGCACAGAGGCACACAGGGTGAAACGATTCCTTCCTGGGGCTAATCCATCCTGTTCCTTTTTTTTTTTTTCCCCCAGAGACAATCGACAATCTCCCTATGTTGTTCAGGCTTCTCTCAAACTCCTTGCCTCAAGTGATTCTCCCTTCTCAGCCTCCCAAAGTGCTGGGACTACAGGCACTACTGGCTACCACACCTGTCTCTTGCTCTTGACTCTTGCTAGTTTTGAGCTTTTTCACACATTTTTCACTTGTCTGTAGAAAGTTTCACTTTATTTTTGCAACTTTGTTCAATATTTATCCAGTTTACAGTATTTCCCAATGCAATTTATTGAGTATCCTTTTGCTTATCAGAGTCTCTTCTCTATCAGGGGGGTAGAGTGGAGTGGGGTTTGGTGCCTTTGTGTTGGGATTGAGCAACACTTTTCTCAGAGTATGTTTCTGTCCATGGGCTTTAATGGTTCTGAGAGAAGAAAAATATGTAGTTTTTTAAAATTATTAAATCTGTGTGCCTCAATGTGGAAAATATGTAGTTTAATTCAGCAGTGCATTGAGTTGTGAGTTCCCTCTTCTCCTCCTTGGTGTCAGAATCCTAAAGGAACCCAGGATTACAGAGTATAACTCAGTGCCTGGAATGCTCATGGCCCACTGGCTGCTCAGAGCCTGGGCCTCTCAGTTTCCAGCCAGCACCGACTTGGGTTTTGGTTTAAATGTTAGCAATGAATCTTGGATGGCCTCATGGAAACAGGTCTTATTAGGTGCTATTGATGTTTGACACCCAGAGAACTCCTGGCTACTCCTTGCTGGCTAAGTGAGAGAATGCTGGAAACATAGGTTCCTCAGATGGCCCTGGCAGTGATTCCAGGGACAGTGCCACAGGGCAGGGGTATGTGTGCAGAAGTGAGGAGGGTCTGTCTGTTTGGGATTCTGCCACCTGGCCTGTAGCAATGCATGTGGGCTGTGAGGTTGGCCTTGTGACTAACTGTCCTGTAG